AAAAAAAAATCCTTAGTTTCTATCATTTTAGATGAATAATTTGATTGGGAGTAAAATATTCAGAATTTTCCCTCAGGATTATAAAAACATGCCATTTTTTTTTTGGCTTCTGCTCTTAGTGATGTCAGTCTGATTCTTATTCCTTTGTAGATAATTGTAGGTTACCTGTTTTTTTTCTTTGCACTTTTTTCTGGGAAATTTTTTCAACCTGATTAATGAAACTTCTGCTGGTTCACTAATTTACTTTTCAATCGTATCCATTTCGCTGTTCAGCACTTCTATTGGAGTTTTATTTCACTAGTTATATTGTTCATTTCCTGGATTGCTAGTTGGTTATTTTTCATCCTATTTCAAGGATAATATACTTTTCCTTTCTTTCTGAGGATGTCACAGTACTTTAAAGTCTTCCTGTTATGTCATTAACTCTTTTCCTCAGAAGGCACCTAATTTAAAATATCAGTTCCCTTGCCCCACCCATAGAGACTCTGATTCAGTAGATTTGGGATAGGGCTCAGAATCTTGCAAGCACTCCAGATAATTCTGATGCACAAACCACACTTGGACTCATTCTTGTTGATCCTGTTGCCCTAGTTTTTTTTTTTTTTTTTGGTCCTTTTCTACATACATGTTTTCTTCAGTGTTAAAAAAAAAAAAAAAAAATGATTCTAATTTTTCAGTCCACTAAATGGCACAGGGCTCTGAGGCACAGATATCCCTAGTCTGTGGTCTTTCTTCCTTATATCCTGGTCACCATTCTAGTCTCATTCAGTTTAGACTCCTTTATCCCTATCCTCATTATCTTTTTTTTAAATACTCTATTTTCTCCTACTGCCAAATGAGGGAATCCTCATTCTACTTTACTTACCTCTGTGACATAATCAATATATCATATCAGCTACCCAAGAAAAATAAAAATACATGTGTACGTGAAAACTTGTACACAAATGTTCATAGCATCATGTTTATAGTAGCCAAAGAATGCATTTTATAATAGCCAAAGATTGGACACAACCCAATGTCCATTAACTAATGAACAGATAAACAAAATATGGTATGTACATACTGTCTTAGTTATCTAGTGTTGCTATAACACAAATACCACAAGTGGGTGGCTTTAACAAACAAATTTATCTTCTCACAGTTTGGGAGGGCAGGGGTCCAAATTCCGGGTGCTGGCTTTAGGGAAGGCTTTCTCTCTCTGTTGGCTGTGGAAGAAGATCCTTGTGTCTTCTGAACTTCAGTTCCTGGGTAATCTTCCTGTGACTTGGCATGTGTCTTCCCCATCTCTGCGTGCTTATGTCTCAAAAGAGATTGACTCAATGACACACCTGATTTATTGACATAACAAAGATAACCCATTCCCAAATGGGATTATAACAGGTTAGGAATTACAACCCAGTAGTTTGGGGACACAATTTAATCCATAACACATACTACCATTACTTGTCATCAAGTTGATTTCTACTCATGGTGACCCTGTGTGTGTAAGAGTAGAACTGTGCTCTATATTGTTTTCAGTCATTGATATTTTGGATGTACATTGCGAGGCCTTTCTTCTGAGGTACCTCTGTATGGACTCTAACGTTCAACGTTTTGGTTAGCAGCCAAGCACATTGACTGTCCTGCCCAACTCCAATGGAATATTATTTGTCAATAAAAAGGAATCAGGTACTGATATGTGCTGCAACATGCATAAACTTTGAAAACATTATGCTAAATGAAAGATCCAGTCACAAAAGGTTACATATTGTACAATTCCATTTATATGAAACATCCAGAATAGGCAAATCCATAGAGACAGAAAGTAGGTTAGTGGTTATCAGAGTCTGGGGGAGAGATGAGGGGATGAGGAGAATGGGAGAGACTGCTAGTGGATACAAGGTTTCTTTTGGGGTTGATGAAAATATTCTAAAATTAGGTTATGGTGATGATTGTAGCATTATGAATATTCTGAAAATCATTGAATTGTACAGTTTTAAAGGATACATTTTATGGTATGTTAATTATGCCTTAATAAAGCAGTTAAACAAGTAAATAAAAATAGGTCATCTAGGAAAAATTATGTAGTTCCCCAGGACCCCACACTAGGAATGAGGTCAAGTAATCATGTGTTTATGATCACACAAAGTGAATCTGTTTGAATAGCTCTTAAAGTATGTTTTTATAGGTCTTATGACATAAAACTGTTTAAACTTAATGTAACTCTTCTTACATCTTTTAAAACAGCCTCGGAAGTGTATAAGATAAACTTTATATTTCCAAATGGAGACAAATATGGTAAGAATACAGTTCAATCACTTTTTCTATGCAGACTAAAATTAAATAGATTAAAAGTGAAAAAAAATGAGACTTATCATATTTTATAAAAACTAATATTAAGATACTAAATCCATTAAATAAAATAACTTAGAAATACTAATAGATGAACAGATTTTAAATCTAAACACCAATATTAAGTCTAGACAAAGGGTGCCTTGGAAACCTATAGGAGCTGTCAGTCTTCTAGTCCCTGGCTCTTGTTCTGGTTACCTCTGTGCTGCTCTAACAGAAAATACCATGAGTAGGTTGGCTTTAACAAACAAGAGTTTATTCTCTTACAGTTTTGGAGGCTTTAAGTCCAAGTTCAAAGTGCCAGGCTCTAGGGGCTGGGTAAAAGCTCCTCAACCTTGGGCTTCAGCTCTGCCTCTGCTCCCAGCCCACTGAAGCTAGAGGATTTTTTTTTTTTTTTGCTCAGACAGCTGCTGGCTGCTGAGGCCAACAAGCCCAAAGGTTGACAGGTAAAAAGATACAGTCCCAATATAACCAAACAAACAGCAGACGATTGATTCAAGTCCATAAGTCCTAAGACTGGCAGAGTGTGACAGACTGCTGAACAATGACTCAGCTACACGCAGGGTGCAAGCATGCCATAAGCTAGAGACCATTCTCAAAGTTGCTTCTTACATGTGGGAAGCAGGCCACATCCCTAAAACAGCTACTCAGCTGCTTGTAGATGCCACAGTGAAGATGATTGCCAGTCTCATCGTGAGAAATTACTACTACCAGCTGCCAAGCCACTCAATCAGTCCCAGCCAAGTTGACACACAACCTTAACTACCACAGTTCTCAATGGTTACAGGACCTTCTGAGTCCATGGATCTCCCCACCGGTGGTCTCATTGGTTTCAGTTCTTAGAGATCCATAGGGGTGCAGTTCTGATTAGGCCTTGATATAAATACTGCATTACCTAGTCAGTGTTCCCATTTCAAATCTTTGGTATGTCTCTCTTGTTAAGATGGTGACTGTACAAGAACATCTTCTGGGACTTTTGAGAGAAATGGAGTAGGCATTCATACCACCCCTGATGGGATTATTTACACAGGAAACTGGAAAGATGACAAGGTATTATAATTGTTTTCATTGTTAACAATGGATAAATAACTGTTATAGATAAATGTTTCCAGACAATTATCATTAATTAAAAATATAAAATGACTAAACTATACAATAAAAATAACAAATGATTATATTTAACATACATTGTTGTTGTTATTTGCCATTGAGTCGGACCCAACTCATGGCGACCCTTCCTTGGATTTCCAAGGCAGTATCACTATGGAAGTAGATCAAATTCATAGAATTTATCATCACCATTCTCTTTCTCATATGTCCTTTGCTGAATAAAGCTAAACTCCATACATAATTTTCTCATTTAGTCCTCATAACTTTATGAGGTAAGTACTGTTGTTTGTTGTTGTTGGGTACAGTTGAGTCGATTCCAACTCATAGCAACCTTATATGACATCAGTACTCCTACTTTACAAATAGCAGCTCTGGTGGCATATTGGTTAAAGCATTCAGCTGCTAACCAAAAGGTCGGTGGTTTGAACTCGCCAGCCACTCTGCAGGAAAGAGATGAGGCAGTCTGTTTCCATAAATATTTATAGTCTTGGAAACACTATGAGCAGTTCAGCTCTGTCCTATAGGGTCACTGTGAGTCACAATCATTGATGGCAGTGAGTTTGTTTGTTATTTTTCAAATGAGGGAATTCAGGCTCAAATCTCTTGCCTAGCTAAAAACCAAAAAACCCAAACTCACTAACATCAAGTAGATTCTGACTCATGGTGACCCTCATTGGGTTTCTGAGGCTGTAAATCTTTACAGAAGTAGATTGCCCCATCTTCCTTCCATGGAGTGGCTGGTGGGTTTGAATAACTGACCTTCTGATTAGCAGCCAACTGCCTTATCCACTATACCATCAGAGCTTCTTCTTGCCTAGCTAGTAAGTGATAAAATAAGAATGTAAATCCAGGTCTGAATGCAAATCTGCGTTCTTACCAACTACTTTGTAGTATTTCTTGAACTAACTAAACTGGTTGTCCTTTAAAATTTTTGAATATTCTAAGTATCTTTGGGACCACTGATACATTCTTCATGGACACTCTAAATGTTCAGATGGCTCAGATCAGGAACATTTGATTGAGTGGGCTTCACAGATGGACATAATTGAAGAACAGTGATAAAAATGCTGCCTGTTTTATTGGAAATAAAGGGTGATACAATGGTAGATTAAATAATTATTAAGTGTGTTATGGATTGAATTATGTCTGCCATAAATATGTGTTGTAAAGCCTAACCCCAATGACTATGATTATAGTCTCATTTGGAAATGGGTTGTCTTTGTTATATTAATGAGGCAGGATTAGTGTAGGGTATATTTTGAGTCAATCTCTTTTGAGATATAAAAGAGATTAAACAAGCAAGCAGAAGAGAGATGGGGTAAGATAAACACCAAGACAAATGGAGATGCCCCAGGAACCACGAAGCAGAAGCTGAAGAGGGCCTTCTTCCAGAGCCAACAGAGAGAACAAGCCTTCCCCTAGCTTCCTAACCTGTGAGAAAATAAATTCCTGTTTGTTAAAACCACCCACTTGTGATATTTCTGTTATAGCAGCACTAGATATTTAAGACAAAGTAGATGATAGACTTATGTATGTACATTTTTGTAAGGTTTTAGTAAATCTAAAGATTAGTTACTGAGGTAATTTCCTTTGCTACAAACAGATGAATGGCTTTGGAAGACTTGAACATTTTTCAGGAGCAGTATATGAAGGACATTTTAAAGACAATATGTTTCATGGATTGGGGACTTATACATTTCCAACTGGAGCAAAGTATACTGGAAATTTCAATGAAAATAGGTAAGCTTAAGTCATAGTAGTTCTGAAAGATTCTTTTCAGGTGTATTTGCTTAAGTATTATTTAATGCTAAAATATCTTTTGTAAAATACTTTGTTTCTAAGAATTGTTGAGTTACTTTGAGAGGGGAGGAAGCTAAGACCAATGTGGTGCAGTGAATTACTTGGTATGGCTTTTGTAACCAGTCTTTGTGACTCCCACCAGATTGCTGGGTGGGACCATGGAAATAAGGTGTATGGAACTCTAATGTGGAGATTGGTTAGTTTTGTCCTTCTGCTAGGCTTAAAATGAACCTTCCTAGAGATCTCACTACCATCAAGAGAGAAGAGCCAGAGGTGGAGTGGAATGCATCCTTGGACCCGAGATCTTTGTAGAAATCTGGACCTCCTTGGTAGAGAGATGGCAAAGACAACCGGCTGAGACGACCAGCAGAGACAACTGGCTGAGGAACCAAGAGGCACAAGACAGAGATGGGAGCAAGAAAGCTGAGTGCCTTTGGGAAGGATGCTTGCTGGTGGAGTAGGGTGCACCTAGGTGTACCTATGAGCAGAGCTAAAAGAGCTTTGTAGCACTTGCCTGTCAGGGTGAAGGCCAAGGCTGAGAGGTCAAGGGCCAGAGAGGTGTGCTGAGGGTATAGCAGAGGGGAGACTGTCCTGATCAAAGAATTGTGTTCTGAGTATTCCTGAACCTGTTACTTCCCCCAGTAAGCCCCATTATTGTGAGTATTGTCTGTTAGTTCTGTGTGTCCATTGTAACAAATTATCGAACCCAGCAGAGAAGTAGTGAGTGCCATAGAGAGATGATTGGTGTTAGAGTTTGTAAAAAGGTGGCATGAGGTGGCGGCATGTCTAGCCTCATAGGAATAAACCATGGGCTGTTGGTGGTAACTCTGGTTTCCCCATGGTGAGACTGGAGGAGATCAGAAGATGTCACCCTCCACTTCCTTTTTACAACCATTATAAACCTTCAAAAGAAATAACATTGTTGGTGATTATCCATTAGATTTTTCATTTATTTCCTCTTGACATTTCCATTCTATAGCATTTTTTGAGTCAGTCTTAAACTCCTTTCATTATTTTGCCCTCTCTTTTATTATTTTGTTTCTTTCCCCATCTTCATGTTATTCTTTGTTTAGATGTGGGGTCAAGGGACCTGGCTCTTTTAGTACCAGCCTGGCCACTGACTTGCCATATAACTTGTGACTCTTTATGGCCCCAGAACCTTCTTTGTAAAATAGGATCAATTATATTTTTTCCTACTTAACTCATAAGGACATTATGATGAGAGGACTGTGAAAACTAATTGGAAAACATCAAGAAGCCTTCCAAGAAAGACTTAAAGAAGTAGTGAGGGATATTTGAGTAAAGAAGCCAAGTTGAACACACATAGATCTACTTTTACTTCCCCCTAAAGCCCATCAGAACAGTAGTAAAAGAACTCTACCCCACCTCTAACTTTTTATTTTGAAAATTAAGATGGAACATGTGGTCTGGAAAGGTTAAAACTGTCTTTATATAATGATGACATGTAGAAAATCCTAATGACTCTACATAAAGAGTTGTTAGACCTAATAAATGAGTTTAGCAAGGTTATTAGGGACAAAGTCATTATACAGAAATCCATTGTGTTCTGTATACTAGCAAAGAACAATTGGAAATGGTAATTTAAAAACGACATTATGTAGTATCAAAAATACAAATTAGGGACTTACAGCATGACAGCAGAATAGGCAGACAAACTACACAGATTCTTTTCAACAAAGAAACAAGAAACCAATTGAAACAGATAACAGATAATCCTGGAACCCTGAGCTTTGAAGGGACGGATAAAGAAGTGAATTAAATACCAACTAGTAGAAGAACTTGAGTGAAAGCAGTGAATAAGGAGACAAATGGAGCATGAACTGTTGGTTATCCTGATGGCACAGCCAATTTGAATAGTTACAAGTGGCATTATGATTTGGGCAGCAACCTAAGAATCAGCTCTGCTTGCCAAAGATTGCATGGGCAGCTGCACTGGTGGCTGATGACTAGAAAGGAAAATAGCAAATAAGAAGACAAACTGAACTGTGGACTTTAAGCTGTCCTGAGGGTGCAGCCATTTTGAATATTTGCAAGCAACTTTCTGATCCAAGCGGCAGCCTAAGAATAGGCTCCCCTTTGCTGATGACAGCATGGGCAACTGCATTGAATAATGACAACTAGAAAGGTGCAGTATTCCCCTTGTTACTCTTATACCCCACACTCTCTTCGTGAATGGGTATTTGTCCATCCCTCACCTCCACCCTCCTTCTGGACTGTCAGAAATTCTATCTTGGTCTGTGTGATCTGATGGAGCCTGGGTGCCCTGCCCTACCCTCTACCACCAGTTTTGTTTTTATTTGTTTGTTTTTATTCTTTTTTTTTTTTCTCTTTATTATTTTTTCTCTGTTTTGTTTGTTTTTCTTTTCTCTCTTCCCTTTTCCTGGTTCCCTACTTTTTAATTTTCTTCTTTTGGTTCTTCCTATCCCATATTTTTCTTTTTGCAGTTTCTCATTTTTTCTTTTTTATTCTTTTACTCTTACTCTTTTCTCTTATTCCTCCCTCCCCAGGTATTGTGGGATTTTTCTCTTTATATTTTTTAAAAAATATTTTTTCTCATTTATTGCACTCGTTTTTATTTTTGCAATTATTCCTGTTTGTTTATATGATTTGTGTTTTTGAGATCTTTTTTTATTTTTTGGTGTTTTTTTGTTTTTCATCTAACTGAGTGGGAAACAGCAACCATGCCCATATGATATGACCATACTCACACTTCTTGCAGTCCCACCCACTGAGGGCCACCACTTGCTTCTGCACCAACTGGCTAATGATAGAGAGTGAGCTAATACCAGCCCAACTCATCCTTAACTGTTCTTCTTGAACAGCTAACAGAGATCTGTGCACACGCTCTCATTCTCTATAACACCCACCACTAGACAGGTGGTGAGTGCCTAAAAGCTGCCAACTAGAGAATAGAGGAGCACAGTACCCTGCTCACTCAGATATATCAAAACAGAGCTACACAGACCCTCTTCAACAAAGGAAAAAATTCTGAGAGAATCACAGGAACATACAATCACCAAATAAATACAATACAATGATGTCACAGAGTCACAGAGAAAACTGACCATCCCAGTTCACACAAAGAACCAAGATAAAGTAATAGAAACTAGAGACCAGGATGCAGACCTAGAAGACCATCCTGAGGAAGAAGCAGCATTGGAACTTCCTGATAAGGAATTAAAAAGAATTGTATTTAGGTACCTTCAATGGGTTGAGAGACAGATCAAGGAAAACTGACAAAATTAAGGAAAACACAGAAAAAACTCTAGAACAATTTAGGAAAACAATATAAGAACAAACTGACAAAATAAATGAAATATTAGAAAAGATACAAAAACAAATAGAAATCCAGAAGATTAATCATAAAATTTCAGAAACAGAACACATTGAATGGGCAAAGTAGTAGAATTGTATCAAAAAGACAGAATTAGTGAAATTGAAGACAAATAGCTCAGTACTACTTTGTTAACCACCACTTGTCTGTCAATTTCTTGTACTGTGGTGGCTTCTATGTTTTTGTGAGGTTGGAGGCTATTACACTAGTACTTCAAATACCAGCGTGGTCACCCATAGTGGAAAGGTTTCAGTGGAGCTTCCAGATAAAAACAGACTGGGAAGCAGGACAGGGGCATCCACTTCTGAAAAAAGTGGCCACTGAAAACCTTATGAATAGCAGTGAAAAACTCTGATATATTACTGGAAAAATTATGAATAGCCCTGAAACATTGCCTGATATAGTGCCTGAAGATGAGCCCCATAGGTGGAAGGCACTAAAAATATGACTGGAGAAGAGCTGTCTCTCCAAAGTAGAGTCAACCTTAATGATGTAGATAGAGTTAAGCTTTTTTTTTTTTTTTTTTT